TATTATTATTATCATGTCTGATTAGTAAGTTGTTGGGACCACTTGTTTTAAAGGTATTATTATTATCATATCTGATTAGTAAGTTGGTGAAATTTGGACAATAAAGCATATTATCAGATTGAAAACTGACTGAATATTAAATTTCCAGAAAGAAACCTGTAGAAAAGGTTTGGTTCCATTTGTAGCTTTGGGCAGGCAGTTTTATTAAGATCTATAGACACATCAGAGAGAATATCAATAAAACAAATTTTTACTGTTTGGTGGTAATGACTGCGACACATATTCCAAGTTCATTGTAAAGACGATTACCTGATGATGTTTCAAAAGGATATCAGACCCATCATAGAGCAGGTCTAACAACTCATTGTACTTCTTCTGTGTAAGATATCTAGAAACAAGGATGAAAAACAACTTGTTAATTCATTGCATTTACTGATTTACATGTACTGCAAGTTTAATTTAGAAAAAAAAACTGTTATTTCATCTAATGATTTTACTACAATATGAAGACAACAAAAGTCAATCCTTTCTAAGAAAGCTCCCTTCATTGGACAGAATGTGGTGCTGGTTTAAGCCATGTAATACGAATCTTGAAATAAAACCATGACTTAACACAATTACTTGATGTACTGAAAAACAAACCTTGTTATACTGACCAAATTCTAGAATAATACACAACTAAAAGACCATTAGGACATCCCTCACCATTCAATAATTTGTTACAATATTGTTCTGAGTATCCATGTGAAGACTTTTTGTCTACATTTTGTTTTTAGGAAGTACAATTAAAAGTTGTTTAAAATTATAAATTAATCATTATCATTCTGAAAAACACTTTACTTATTTTTATTTCAAAATCATAAGGGAAAAAATATTAATTTATTTTGATAAATAAAAACTTTAAGATGAAAGAGGTATTATTAGGTGTCAACTTTCAACAATAAAGTAGTTTTCTGACAGAAGTCACACCTGTGATCAGTTAAATGTTGTTGTTTAACTAAGCATATTTAATAATCATTTTTAATGTTTGATGCACCATAATATGGTAATAGTATATATTTTTTTAGTTATTGCAGAAAGCCATGACTTTTGAAACTAACAGTCCCAGAAGACCAAACATGACATACAATTTAGGCATATTAAAGTTTTTAACATTAATCATTACAGAAAGTTTAAAATCTTACTTGTGAACATTTTTAGTTTTTTAAAATGCCTGGGTATTTTACAATTTCTCAAATTAAGCTATGATTTGAAATGTGGAATTCAATTGAGAATAAAAGCAAGTTACATCAATGTACAAGTCAAAGTCCACTAACTGTAGTTATAAACAGAATCACACTGTTGCATTATTAAGACTAAATCTCTTATGTTACGTTTTTATCAACATAACAATACACAAAGAAATCCTGTTAATTTTCATGAATTTACAGTCAGTCACTATTATGACAAAACAAGGTGTACTGAAAAGCAGTTTGGAATGTTATTATTACTACAGCTTCTGCTTTTACGATATGCCTCTTCTCACATGTGAAGCCATATATAAAAAATTAACATGAAGTTATTCAACTGTCGAGCTAATAAACAAATAAAACAAAATACTAATCAAAGAAGTTCACATCTGCAACTACTATTGTGTAAATTAAAAGAAAAATGAAATGTACATGTAAATACCTGCCCTTCATAACAAAGCCTTTGTAGCATAGATGTTATGATATTTTATTCCTTAATTTACTTATTTATTAAAATAGAACACAAACAGAGCGGTGTGGTAAAACAGTTTTCCTCAGTCCAAAATCCAAGCCAGTTATAATCAGCCTGTTTTTTTTGTATCTTTAGTTATTTACTGTTATTTTTATATTATTGTCTAATATTATTTCAATTTTCTATAACAACTAAACTGATAAATTGTTTAAAAAAAGGCTATAACATCATGGCAGCATATTTAACAAAACAATGAAAACCAAGAATATAACCAACTGATGAAACAATACATTTTAATTAATAGTTTCATTCTGAGTTTACTTACTGGTTAAGTATATTCTATTACAAGTACTTGAGAATGATCACACCAGTGATCGAAACGTTGTAGCTGTTCTAACACAAATCTTACTTACTGTAAAAGCTGTAACTTGTAATAAAATGCATTTTGATATTTATAAGTAAAAATGTAAGAACAGTATATTTAATCACCTATACTTAAAGTACCTGTGCTACTCATAAAATGTACAACAATTCCTGGTTTAACTGTTGATATATTTGGTTACAGTGTTGTATATAATAAATAGGGACATTACTGAGCTTTGTCTACCTAAGAATGTAACACAACATTTAATTTATTCGCCAAGCCCCAACACTATAGGCTACATAGATATACACACAGAATTACAAGTTACATACAGGTTACCGAGTTAGTAATAAGAGCGGATTTAGGGTTTGTTGAGCATGATGCAAGAAGTATCAAGCTACGTAACTAAAACAATTAGTATTACACCGTATAGCACTGTACAGTGAATGTTGAAAAACTAACACTGAGTAACAGTTCAAGTCACTGTAAATTTAAATTATAATACTACGTAATCTGACTATTACTAATAGCACTATATAATATCAATTTAATAATAATATTTAATTATTAATAATTTATCAATACAATACAATAGTAATATTATAATATTAGATAGTATACTAAAACAAACACATACGAAATACCAATTAAAAACATTACCTGAAGTATAGTGTTTTGTACATCTGGTGGGCTTCATAATAGTGACCAGTCTCGATATTAAATTTTACTTTACTTAAAATTCTGTCTACTCCAACTCTTCTTTCCCTGCTACTGGTAGACATGTTGCCGAAAGAAGGGCTGAGTTAAAAGGTGAAATTTACATGAAAATTGAAAGAAAGTTGAATTCAAATGTATAACAAAAGGGGAAATATCAAAATATTTTATGAAAATAGAAAAACAATATATATATATAAATATATTACAAATATTTTATATTCCTTTAGAAAATATTTCTAAAAAATCCGTTAAACACAATATATTGTTGTAAAAGCTTCAAAAATATAGGATGAAATATCTCACAGCTCGTTCACCAACGGTAAACAACACTTAAACTTAATGTAAAAATGTACTCGTTCTACGTACTGCTACATCTAAAAATATATTTATTCCTGGAAAATAGATGCAAAAATAAACAGAAATAGCAGATTTTGAAGCGGTTGAGAGATCCGAAGAAAACTGGATAAATAATCACCGGTGTGTCACTAAAAACAGCAGATTTGCCATTTCAATTTTTCAAATTAGAAAAGCAAATCATAGTATTCAAAAGAAACAATTATGTCTGTATAAAATGGGTTTTCGTAAAGCGATTATCTTAGAAATAGTGTAATCAAATCTCAAAGGCAAAATAAAGAGCGACGTACTAAATTAAATTAAAATACACTAAACTGGTTCCATAGTTCATTCTGGAAGTGTTAACCTATATGGAATTTTCAGATAAACTGATTTCCTCAAAGATATTAACTTCTGTCAACTTAATTATGGGAAATTCGTACAGGGTCATTACAGAGTAAAACTGAAGCTGACTAAAACAATAGACTTTTAACCTAACAGAATAAACATACTGGACAATTAATGTAAAATGTAAGACAATCTTTATTTATATCACAATTCCAAAAATCATGTGTGCTTGCACAGTACATAAGACTGTCATCGTAACATAACATAATGTTTTGGGACAACAAGGAACCTATCGGGCCATCTCGGCTGTCCTATTCTATAAACTAAACTATTAAATATATTTACTTTAAAAGTTTTTAAAGCTAGTTCTTATCATTCAAATAGTTTCTCTTAAACTCACTTAAATCTACTACCTTCACAACATTTGAAAGCAACCCATTCCAAAGACCAATCATTGTGTTAGAAAAATAAAACTCTTAGGTGAAGATGGCTGGCAAAATTTACATTTGTGTCTCCTGTTCTTACTGTTAAGTATGAAAAAATACGATACATTAACACTTTAAAAACTCAACCAGATCCCCTCTAATTCTTCTTTTTTTCAAGAGGAAACAATTTGAGAGATCTCAACTTTTCCTCGTATGACAACCCTTCCATCCGGGAGCGGATTGGCTCACCATGATAAAGGACAATTGCCCGGTGGGCCAATGCATTTGATGAATTCCTAGACATTTATTTTCAATTATAATTGTTTAGCCAGTATGCAGCATGTGATATTTGCCCGGGCTGGTCCTTTATTGCCAATCCGTCTTTGCCTCCATTATAATAGCCTTCCTCTCAATCCTTTCCACAATTTAATGTCCTTCCTAAGGTAAGGAGCCCAAGACAGAACGCAATACTTTAAACGTGGCCTAGCCTGTGACCTATACAATTAAATTATAACCTCTTTAGACTTGTATTCAGTATTTCTGTAGATATAACCTGAAATCGTATTTTGCTCTTCCACTAGCAACAGCACACTGGTTGGATGGCTTAAGAGACTGATCAACCATTACACCAAGATCCCTTTCTTTCACGACACTGTTAAGGTTATTCCCATCCAAATTATAGTTATAATTCAAATTATAATAACCCACATGCATTTATTATAATTGAAACCCATTTGCCATTTATTTGCCCAGCTCACTAAATGATTTAAATCCTTTTGTAAATCAGCAGCATCCTCTTCACAGCTAGCAACACCCAAGACCTTAACATCATCTACACACTTTTTGACGTCCTAATTTCCTGTTTGACCAACTTTCTTCATCTTCTAAATCTCCCGTCATACGAATCTGTGATGCTTTTCTATAATTTTAACTCCTGTACTCTCAGTGAGCCAACCTATTTTTTACTTGCAGCCACACTTTTGTTTCTATAAGAAATATGTTTACCTTGAACATTGAAAATTTTATCTTTAAAAAGTTTCCACATTTGATCACTGTCTTCAAGTAACTCAGCTACCCATTTCACAACATAGTACACAAGAGAAAGAAAAAGAAATACTTGGAGGAAATGCACACACAAACCAATTACTACTTCTGTATCAAATCCTAGTCACCGATACCAAAAATTAGTTCAGTCGAGATTATCTGTGGTAATTTAGTGTTACACCTAGCTCAGAGGTACTTGATGTTTACGAAAACAAAAGATTAATGAATCTAAAATGCTGAAGGACAACAATCTGTTGCAGATAAAATAAAAGACACAAGACACCACACGATGTTCAGTCAAAATGAATGTACGAAAAACCATTTAATTTTCTGCAATAAGAGGAAAGTTAACAAATATCAAACATGTTGTTCATGTGAACGTGATTTATAGTCACTATGAGCAAAACCTATACACTGGATTCAAATTCGATGACGAGGAACCAACTTTGAGACTAATAATGCTTGGAGACGGCTTGAATGGGTAATGAAGAAAAACTTTAATATAAGTTTAACATAACAGCAAATGTACAACGTTTCGACACGGTTTTGTACCTGATGACGAGAAAACATTTTCGAAACGTTGTACATTTCCTGTTATATTAAACTTATATTAAAGTTTTTCTTCATTACCCATTCGAGCCGTCTCCAAGCATTACTATACTCTGGATAGGTGAAGTGAAGAAAATGTGTCATTGGCCACTATTCAGTTCTTCACATTATTTAGCCACGCAATAGCAGATATAATAAATAAACTTAATATTCCGAAAATTGTTTAATCTTGAAGTCTAAGTTCAAGGGAGGTCCAGTTCAATCTACACTACTAGTTATGCTAGTTTCGGAGAATTCCACTCCTCATCCGTAACCTGAACCAAAGAGAGATAAGCTGGACCTATATCATAGTGAAAATGATGAGGAGTGGAATTCTCCGAAACTAGTATAACCCAATAAAACACGTTGATCAAAGTGTACATCCCTTGAACTTAGACTTCAAGATTAAACAATTTTCGGAATATTAAACTTATTTATTAAGTTAACAAATAGCTGATTGGATTTGATCGGCTAAGTGATAAACTATTGCAAAAAAGGGGGATAAATATATATCACAGAGAAAAGTTGAGATAAGATACATACGATCAATAAGTAGATATTGTTACGTCTGCGCTCGTTAGTTAATTTTCCGTAAATTCGTGCCGACGAAACTTTAGCGACACAAGTCCTTTCTTAAATAAAACTGGTTTATTCTTTCCGAATATAACTTTGCGATACACTTAATTTCAACAGTAGCGCTATAATTCTCAACGAACGTCTCAGGTGCTCGACTTCAACAATACTCAGTTCAATTACACACTCTCTGACTGCAGTTCAATTACTCCTTACCTTGTTCCGTCACGTTGTGACCGTCTTATATATACCAGACTAACCCCAATCTAGTAGTTTCCCGATAATTCATGAAGGTTCGAGAAGGACGTGGCGTGAGACAAGGATGGGACTTCCATATGTGAGTATTGACTCTCATAGATCTGAAATAAACTGTTTTTCTCAAAAAGCTGGAACAAATCTAATCCAAGACCACCAAAACTACTTTCAAAAACCAATTTCTCTCTCCAGCGAGCCCCCAGTAGCACAGCGGTATATCTGCAGACTTACAACGCTAGAAACTGGGTTTCAGTACGCGTGGTGGGCACAGCACAGATTCCACATTGTGAAACTTTGTGCTTAACTACAACAGATAAATAAGCTCCCCAGCTAAAGAATCAGGACAAATGAACCAACTCCATAAAACGATTGCAACTTATCTCCCGAACACGAAGGAAGCATTGCAACTACCCCATGAAACAGTAGAAAAAAGTTCCTCGACAGGTCTTTGTTTGTTTGTTTTAGAGCAAAGTTACAGTGTGCTGTCTGCTGTGTCCACCGTGGGGAGAATCGAACCCCGGATTTTAACATTTTAGGTTCGTAGACCTACCGCTGTCCCACCGGGGAACCTTGCCCAGTGAAGATACAAAAAATAACAACAGATTGAACTTATTATATGACCTCATCCTTATTAATTAATGAGTTTCAAAATTATAACTTCAAAAAAACCTTAAAAAAATGTTAGATCAGAAATACATATTACGCGAAAGTTAGATATGTATAAAAATACAATAGTAAATTACATTCTGACACTTAAAACAATTTTGACAGTTTTATGCTAGAATGCCGTCCCTACTTGAAGTTTTAAATAAATTGTATTTAATTTCTATATATTTGCCTATCATATTTCAAACATTGATAACTTGTTTGTTCGTTTGAAATCGTTATCTCATCAAGTCGTCCCTAATTTAGAAGTGTTAAACAAGGTATCTAGTTAGTACCAGTCACCGCTAACTCTTTAACAAGGAATAGTGGGATTGGCCATTACACGATAACGTCTTTATGACCGCAAGGGTGATTATATTCGGTGTTGTGATTCAAACTCGACAGCCATAAATCGCGAGTCGAGCACTTTAACCACCAGGCAACACTGATAAAATTATTTCAGTAAAAAAAAAATAAAAAAATAGTTGTACTGTAAGTCGTGCTCTATAAGCTATAGTCGAACAAAGCTCGCACAATTATGTTAATCACTATTTTTAAAGATGAAGTGTTGAAAATTTAAATTTTCTTTTAAGTTTTATTAACATTTGTTTCAGATGAAATTTGTAAAATTGAATCTTTAGTCTTAAGTGTCGACTTATAGCCGCCTTTTGGAATTTTTATTTGTATAGTGAAAATAAATAAAAACCTGTCAATAGACAATACAAAGACGGAAATTAGAATTTTAAAGCTTGTTTTAAGTGTAATAGTTTTAAAACAGTGAATTTTTGAAATTAGTGATGTCAAGAACTCCAAAGAACTCGCAAGTCTTCGGTTATCAGTTTGTTTTTTAAATTATTGAAATATCGTAAATATACCGTCTGAAACCGGGGATTTTTTATTACAATCTATTTTCTGTAGAGCTCCTATTCTTTCCTACTCTTTTTACACAAGAAAAAAAAAAATTCAAAGCAGGCTTGAAAGTTGAAGTCTGAGGAATGAATTTAGAATTCAAGGGTGTGTTTGACTTTGTGTTGTAACTTAATTATAGTATTTATTATCTGTACCCCTCGGAAATGTAATAAATTAACTTAATTAACACCTTTCTGTGCATATTTGTTTATTTAACTGAAGTAATTGTTAAAATCATAAATA